CATTGGAATAATGATTGACTATTTGAAGAAAAGACAATGAAACAAGGAAACATGACTGAACACATGACGGAATAACAGTTACATACAAACCGACTAGAGGGAAAGAGAGCCAGAAAAGGTGACAGTCGATTCATTTACCTTGCACCATCAATTTTCACAAAGTTCATGGCCACATCATTGGAACCAGTAAACTGCTGTCCTTTTACCAGGCGGCAAGGAATTCCCAAACTGTCAGCCAAAACCTGCCCAACCATAAGAAATAGAAGGTTGAATACACTATATGAGCATTTTCCAAAGGGACATATGAATTCTCCAAGGGTATAAACTTTGAACACCCTTTGAGTGACTGTCAATGCTCATAAGACATACTCAATTAGAATACTTCATTCTACCGAACAGTAAGAACTAAGGAATAACATCTAAATTGCATGAGACTTCCAGTGCTAATCACGACAGCTGATACAAATTGCATGACATTTGTAATAATATTCATAAAGCTATTCACACACCCATGATATCCATAAATAATATCCATTATGATTCTAACACACAAACCGAAAAAACTTTAAATGTTACAGCAAACGAAATACAAAACGTGAAACATTACAGCACAATCATGTATCAACTTCTACCAGATAATACATCTCCCTCAAGATTTGTGATTGGTAATAGTGTATATATTAAACAAATGGAAAAAAAAAATTAAATATACATAGATGCACATATAATGTCCATTTTTTGTATGCACATGGGTGTGTCCGTGTTTCATGTAACCATATGTTTTTTCTGTTTATACATATCATTTTTTCGTGAGACCAATAACCACATCTAGCTCCATTACAACCACAAGAAGCATTTCAAGCCATTTGAGCCACATGTATCCGATGAAAGACAGTAAATGGAGAAATATTTTTGACAGCAAGCATGTGATACCTTGAACAGCAATGCCCGATGACGAGCTAATCCAATTGTTAAAGAACCAATAGGCAAGACCATGCTCCCAACATTTGCCTTCAGAGTTTGACTGACATTTCTCCATGATATTAATATGCTGTCAGGATCACCAACAGGGCCCCCCATATGGTCAGATACCAAGTTAGCAAGCTTCTGGACCATTTTGTGTGTCACATGATTAGCAGAATGTGACCTTAATCTGGAAACCATTTCTAGGGCTTTCTGCTCAAGGTTCAACAACTTGGTGTCAACTTGTCTATTGACAAGAATGGCTTCCCAACTAATATCATGCGACACAGGCGTTCCTTGCAAATCAACTAGGGAAGGCATTCTAGATGAAGCGGATTCAGTCAATATGCCATACAGATCATAGAAGCCATCCAGAATCTTGTCATCATAGCTAAGGGCGTTGTAATTCTGTGAAGCACGGACAAATCTAGAATATGAGATATGTTAGCAAGGAATTAGTAAGATGCTTGGATACAAATTTATCCAAAAATAATCCAATCATTTTTAATCAATCACTCTTTTTTAATCAAACCTAACTCAACTTTAACTCAACCCCACTATCATCACTATTCTCAATATAACTAATAATATCAATCAATCGTTCTTACACATTACATCAACCTTAATTCACAATTCATCCACTCACATAATTCTAACTAACCATCACTTCACATCATCTCTCTCCTACTTTTACATCAAGTCAACTTTAATTATTATTATTTTAATATAAACTCAAAATCCCACTAACTAACCATGCCACTTTTTTCAACATTAACCATACCAAACCAAAAAAAATCCAAACAAAATCAAAATATTTTATAACCAAGCATCCCTACGATTTTACCGACGGAGAAGTCAAGAATAGGATCATAATGATTTTGCAAATGTTGATACTACCAACCTATCATCTTGCTTTTACTGAAATGAAGAAAACTATCTTCAAAGTGGGAACAATAACATTGATTGTCACAGCCTGCATAACTTTTCAGATTCCATGCATAGTTTCTTTCTAGAAATCAAGGTTAAAATAATTACAGATGCATATTTAATAGATTGAAGCCCAAATAGCCACTCTGTTCTTGAACGGGAAAGAAAAACTTGGCGTTGGTTTGTAAAGCAGACAGACAAGCTACTAAAACAAAACCGTAAAGAAGCTACGTCAGAGTTTCATCATAAGCAGATAGGAAGCATTTTGGAAGGAGTCTGATGTGCAGAATGTATAGTTAGCAATTCCCAGTAAACCCTAATACAAGCAAGTTCATTGCCTTCGCACATGGCACAATCCCAAAAAAGCTAACCCAGGCCAATTTGTGATTAACAGAAAACTAGATTCCCAGTCAAACTTCTTTAATTTTTACTGTGAGGATGTGTAGTGGCTAACCAATACCAAGTTTAGTAGATACCTAAGCTTGAAATTGCGGAAACAACCAATGAACATTGGTTAATGAGTAGTCATTTCAGTGGAGAACCCAAACATGGGTCAAAAGACTGCAATAAATGAATTTTCCAAACTTCAAGCACAAAATTTGTATCAATGGAATTTTAAAATACACAACTCTTTGTTGTTGAAGCAACAAAAATTACAATTAACTCAATTTAGTAGGTCAAGTCAGTGAGTTTGAGATATGGATAGAACCTTCTGCATAGTGAATTAGAAATGTATATTTGTATGTGAAATAACAAACCACAACTATTTAAGCTGTACGGCTATTTATGGACTCAGATAGTATTCAATAAACAGAATATCTCATGCACGCCATTGGAATGTATTAGTAGCAAGAAAATTCTACATGGGCAAGGTTTCAAACTCAAGCACCGGTGCCTGAAGCAAATGTTGGTGATAGGAGTAACAAATCAGGAAAGATAAGTGTTGGTGATGGTAGTAAAGTATCATAAAAGAGACACTATAGGTAATTTTACTGATGATAATAGGGATGAATAAGAAGCACGAAACTTCTCCAGCAGGTTCTCTTCCAAGCAAGAATAGATCTATCGTGCTAACACCCCAGTCTTATGTACTATACTATAGCTAACATAAAACGGTAACAAAATTAGAATGGGCAAGAAAATAATGAATATGAGAAATATTAGATCAGTCAAAATCAGTAAGATAAAACACCAATTAAGACACCAAAAATCAGCATAAGATATTCTAAAATTGATATCCTTCCATTTTTTTCATCTCTATCAGTTATCAACTGTTATTGTAAATATTGGATAGATAAGATATAGTATCAATTAGATGATATGGTAATCCCGTCGATTAGGTTTTTGAATTATTTTTCTTTCTTACACTTCCTTTGGCTTGTATATATATTAGCTTCACAGCATTACATGGCATCAGAGCGAGACGAAAAATAAAGTTAGGTTTTTTTCTTTTTTATTTCAGTCAATTTCAGTCATTATACTTTGTTCAGACATTTGCCCGATTCCTAATGAGGAAATGCAGCCTTCCGCTCTCGGCACTCATGTCTCCCAAAATAGGGCCATGGTCAATCGTGGAGGCTCCCGAGGAGGCTTTTGTGCCGGACTTCGACGAGGCATTCGAGTTGGTTGTCGCGGTGGTAGGCGGTTCGACAAATCATGGTTCTCGCAATCCTTAATCCAAAGAAGTGGAGTGTTACTATTGTCATGTATTGGGCACACTAAGTATTCATGTCCTCAGTTAGCTAGCTGTGAAAAAACAAAAGAGCCCCTTTGTTCATGTCGCATCATCTGACATGGTTAGTATTTCTGCTGAGTATTCTCGACTTACTGAAATAGTGAAACCTTCTTCATCCGCTACCGTCTTTGCTGACACAAGTAAGTCTGCCACATGCCTCAAATCTAAAGGCACTAGATGGGTCATTGTTTCAAGTGCGCGTCAGTAACCCTATCCTTTTTTCCAGCCTTCACCCTCATATAAATATCGCTACCAACTTCTTGGTATATTTTGTTACTATCATTGGGCCTCCTTGCCCTTAGAGCACTTGGCCACTCGTTGCCAGAGATATACTAGACGCCCTCAATCACATCAAGAGATTGTCACAGATTCTGCTGCTCTCGTGGAAGATCCTATGTACAGTCCAACCTCTACACATGCCCCTTTAAACCTAACGACTTTCCTATTGCACTTCGCAAAGGTAAAAGATCTACTATTGCTTATGTCGTGTCTTATGACAACCAGTCTTCGAGTTCTTTTATTGCTAAACTAAACTCTATCACTATTCCTACATTTGTTGGTGCTGTTTTAGCTCATCCTGGGTGGCGTGTTGCTATGATTGAAGAAATGAATGCCCTAGATCATAATGGCACATGGTCCTTAGTGACTCTGTTGGCAAAAAGACAGTTAGATGTAAGTGGAGCTGCCTGTTGGCAAAAAGGTACTTAGATGTAAGTTGGTCTTCACTGTTAAAGTTAATCCTATGGCTCGTCTTAAAGCCCAGCTTGTCGATAAGGGCTATGCTCAGATTATGGCACCGATTACTCTGAGACTCTCCCGTGGCCAAACTTACATATGTCTGGTTGCTCATCTCCCTCGTTGCCTCTTCTGACCGGCCTCTACACTAACTTGACATTAAGAATGTGTTTCTCCATGGCTTTCTTCATTCTTCAGGAAGAGGTTAATATGGTTCAATCAGGCGTTGTTGCTCAGGGAGAGTTGGGAAAGCATGTCGTCTTTATAAGTCTTTATATGGGTTGCAGCAAAGTCCCCGAGCTTGGTTCGACATATTTAGCTAGAATGATTTGAAATATGGGTTGGTGAGATGTAAATCTGATCACTCATAATTCTATAGGCGATCGGGATAATTTTATTGGTGGTATATCTCGGTGATATTGTTGTTATGGGGAATGATAGTGATGGGATTTCAAACCTAAAATCCTTTCTCCATGAGAAATTTCAAACAAAGGACTTGGGATACCTTAAATACTTTATGTGAGTGGAGATAATGAGAAGTAAGAGAGGTATTTTCCTTTGTTAGAGGAAGTATGTGTTAGACCTTTTTTAAAAAATTGGAAAAGTTGGGGGGAAGAGCCATGCAACACTCGGATGACACCAAACTTGCAGTTAGGAAAGGATGATGGTGAGCCATTTCATGATTCAGATCGGTACCGAAGACTTGTAGGGAAGTTGAATTATCTCATCGTAACACACCTCGACATATCTTTTGCACTTGGTGTAGCAAGTCGATGCGACCATTAGTCATTGGGAACTTCTTGAACAAATTTTGTGCTATTTGAAGGGGGCTCTTGGACGTGGATTGTTTTATGGGCATGATCCAAAAGCTAGGGCAGTCCAAGCATCAAAATTGATGCTGACTATAGTAGATCGACTTCTGGATATTGTACATTTATGGAAGGCAATCTAGTTTTGTGGAGAAGCAAGAAGCAAAATGTTGTTTCT